CCAGACTACTTTTAAACGCGAGTATCTGTACTTCTTCTTGAGTAAAGGATGTGTATACTTTTTCCATCTCTGAGCTTGTGTCATAGTAGATGGTTCTCTTGAGATATTTCCAGTCCTGAGGTTTTGTAACGGACACTGATTCCTCCTCACACACACTAAATACACACACACACACACACACACACACACACACACACACACACACACACACACACACACACACACACACACACACACACACACACACACACACACACACACACACACACACACACACACAACAAAGTGTCTCTGTCCAGCTGGTGTCTTCCCATGCATAGCAGTGCACCTGTTCTCTCAAGCTCTTATCATATTTTCTGACAAGATGGCAAACTTTCGTGCAACCTCCATCAACTCCTCAGTGGTCGGGAAGTTTCCATCAAGCTGACGAGCATTAAATTGTCCAAACTGAGTTCTTTGTAATCTTTAGATCTTGTGTAAATACATCAGAAACAACTGATGATGGAAGTGAAGCTACTGAGTTCTTGGAAATCAAGATGGTCTTTTTTTTTGTATCTCCTTCCCACAAGACCCATATCTTTTGTGCACAAGGTGAATCTTATATCTTGCAACCGAAGTCCTGAGAGATTTTTTTCTTAATCATAAAGGTAAAAGATAAAAATGTGTACTCTGAAGAAAATGACTTTTCTGCACAACATTTCATCTTGCTAACCCATGAACCGTATCTTTTGCACGTTATCATTTAATCAAACAAGATAAAATCATGCTCTTGGACTTCTGGGTTTCTGTGAGATCTGAAATCAACAAAACTGAACTTTTATAAGTGTCTCTGTTTCCAAAATCTTTCATATATGGATTTCTCAGACTTACTGTCAGAGTTATCAGGACAGTACATTGCTTACATTGCCAGTTGATACGTTTTAGACCGTATGTACCTTAACCTGACCTTACCTTCAATAAATAACTCTTAGAGTAGTGCAGAAACGAGTCTTAAATCCCGGAGCATTTTCGCTTCCAGTTCCCTCCTTTCCAAGTCAATGTTCCTTTGAACGCGTTTGTGGTGAGAAGCCTGAAATAAAATGTAAGCTTAAGAGATTTTCATTTTTTGTTCTCCAAAATAAAATACATTAGTAAATACTCTACTCCTGAATGTCATTAATGTGTCATCAAAATGGCGGTTGCTAGCAAGTGATCACTGCAAATGGGACTACTGAACGTCTTCACACCGACAAAAGACCACATTTAGCTGAGCGGTTGTGATGCGCTGCCATGCAACCATGATGTAGTTCGTTTATAACTTAAGCTTTTTACTTCTGGCGATTGCATTCATATTAAAAAATCACAAAGTGGTGTTAATAAGTGAAGATTATCCTGCTGAACAAAACGTGCTGATAATGAATGTGTGTTGGCCACAGAGCTTATTTTCTACAATATTCCAAAATCAAATGGGAAAACCCCCTTGCTACAAATACGTCATCACTGCACCTCTCTATTGCCCAATGTGTTGCAATATAAAAAGCTGAGAATCAAATATCCACCAAAGAAGAACTTAACATCAACAAAGCTGATATTCAAATCTCTCCTCTTGTACCCATGTCAGTCTTACCCTATCCAACCTCTTCATCTGCGTTACAACGTAGCACTGACATGTGTGGCTTCATATTTCCCCTTCCCTTTTAATTCCTGAGAGAGATCTCAGACTGAGTTCCCAGCCCGACAGAGTGAGCCTCCTCCTGGGCAGGAGCGCCTCGTCGTCTCCCCTTTGAAGAACTCATGAGGAAGTCACCCACTAGGCTCTCAGATCCCACATGGGGGCCGCGCTCTCTTTGAAATACTGAACTGCAAAAAGCGGGGAAGAAGCGTTGGAGCATGGGAGGAGACAGTCTGAATGTGTAAATGTCAGAGGGATTAGTGTGTGTTCATGCAAAGGTCTTACACTTGGCACATGAGTAATGGGATGTAACCAGATTGAAAAAAACACCATTGAAGAATGCAACAGGCATGTGACAGGCTGTTCAATATGTTCCAGACACTTCATATCAGAACTTATATACACAAAGCATAGGCTCTGCAGGTTCAGGGCTCCCTTGTGAGCGTGTTTATTCGTGTCCTAACATCCTAACTAGCCCATCAAAGTCAGTCCCAACAGTATCAATCACATCTGCAGCAGCATCAGATCCACAATCAGATTATCCCCACATTGATTCTGAGCACCGACCCAGCACATCGACACGCTGCATATGTGTCGAGCAGCTGTGCGGGGTGATCACCAATAGGCCAGATGTTGTATCTCGCACCTCAATAGCAGCGAAAATATACCGGATTGATTAGGAGCCCCATCTGCTGCGCTAGCACGGTGTTAATAAAGCCGGCTGTGGAGCGCTCTTCATTAGAGAGGGAGGTGACGCGAGGCTAAGTGTTCAAACGGCTGCGCCAGGTTATATCAGAGGAGCTGAGAGGAAGAGGTGAGGCCCCAATGAGCGCTGCTGAGGTGAAGCACAGCCTGAAGCAGGGGGGAGGAGAGACATATATACTCAGAGACAGACAGACAGGTACTCAGAGACAGACAGACAGACACTCAGAGACAAACAGACAGATACTCAGAGACAGACAGACACTCAGAGACAGACAGACAGATACTCAGAGACAGACAGACAGATACTCAGAGACAGACAGACAGATACTCAGAGACAGATACTCAGAGACAGACAGACAGATACTCAGAGACAGACAGACAGATACTCAGAGACAGACAGACAGATACTCAGAGACAGACAGACAGATACTCAGAGACAGACAGACAGATACTCAGAGACAGACAGACACTCAGAGACAGACAGACAGATACTCAGAGACAGACAGACAGATACTCAGAGACAGACAGACAGATACTCAGAGACAGACAGACATATACTCAGAGACAGCATATACTCAGAGACAGACAGGTACTCAGAGACAGACAGACAGATACTCAGAGACAGACAGACAGATACTCAGAGACAGACAGACAGATACTCAGAGACAGACAGACAGATACTCAGAGACAGACAGACACTCAGAGACAGACAGACAGATACTCAGAGACAGACAGACAGATACTCAGAGACAGACAGACAGATACTCAGAGACAGACAGACATATACTCAGAGACAGACAGACATATACTCAGAGACAGACAGGTACTCAGAGACAGACAGACACAGAGACAGACAGACAGACAGATACTCAGAGACAGACAGACAGACACTCAGAGACAAACAGACAGATACTCAGAGACAGACAGACAGATACTCAGAGACAGACAGACAGATACTCAGAGACAGACAGACATATACTCAGAGACAGACAGGTACTCAGAGACAGACAGACAGATACTCAGAGACAGACAGACACTCAGAGACAGACAGACACTCAGAGACAGACAGACAGACAGATACTCAGAGACAGACAGACAGATACTCAGAGACAGACAGACAGATACTCAGAGACAGACAGACAGATACTCAGAGACAGACAGACAGACAGCTACTCAGAGACAGACAGACAGACACTCAGAGACAGACAGACACTCAGAGACAGACAGACAGACAGATACTCAGAGACAGACAGACAGACAGACACTCAGAGACAGACAGACACTCAGAGACAGACAGACAGACAGATACTCAGAGACAGACAGACAGACAGACAGACAGACAGACAGATACTCAGAGACAGACAGACAGACACTCAGAGACAAACAGACAGATACTCAGAGACAGACAGACAGATACTCAGAGACAGACAGACAGATACTCAGAGACAGACAGACAGATACTCAGAGACAGACAGACACTCAGAGACAGACAGACATATACTCAAAGACAGACAGACAGACACTCAGAGACAAACAGACATATACTTAGAGACAGACAGACGTATACTCAGAGACAGACAGACAGATACTCAGAGACAGACAGACAGATACTCAGAGACAGACAGACAGATACTCAGAGACAGACAGACACTCAGAGACAGACAGACATATACTCAGAGACAGACAGACAGATACTCAGAGACAGACAGACACTCAGAGACAGACAGACAGATACTCAGAGACAGACAGACACTCAGAGACAGACAGACAGATACTCAGAGACAGACAGACAGATACTCAGAGACAGACAGACATATACTCAGAGACAGACAGACAGATACTCAGAGACAGACAGACAGATACTCAGAGACAGACAGACAGATACTCAGAGACAGACAGACATATACTCAGAGACAGACAGACAGATACTCAGAGACAGACAGACATATACTCAGAGACAGACAGACATATACTCAGAGACAGACAGACATATACTCAGAGACAGACAAACAGATACTCAGAGACAGACAGACAGACAGACACTCAGAGACAGACAGACAGACAGACACTCAGAGACAGACAGACAGATACTCAGAGACAGACAAACAGATACTCAGAGACAGACAGACAGACAGATACTCAGAGACAGACAGACAGACACTCAGAGACAGACAGACAGATACTCAGAGACAGACAGACAGACACACACTAACTGTGAAAAAAAATATATGGTTAGTTTATCAGAATGAAAAGTGGAAGAACTGTGCCGTTACAAAAGAGGTAGCCTTTAATGAAATGTGAGAAATATACCGACGAATGTGCAATCATATTACGGAGTATGGGAAATGGGTCACATGATGTCCGTTAATCCTACACATAATATGACATGTTTAGCACATATCCCTTTATGTGCAATATATATATATGCCGTTAATAACTGTGCAATATATACCTGGCTGCTAAATCCTCAGAACTGTTACAGGATGTGTATTTCCTTATTTCACCATACTTTATGCATGCTTCTTAGTTAACATTAAGCTGTCTTTGGCTCTTTTCTGCTGTGACAAATGTAAATGTCCGCTCTGTGGCGCTAATAAAGATATTCTGATTCTGATTCTGATGACACTCTCACTGTCTCTAACAGATCTGTGACAAGGAGTGGCATTACTACGTCATCAACGTGGAGTTCCCGGTGGTCACGCTCTACGTGGACGGAGTGACCTACGACCCCTACCTGGTGACCGACGATTGGCCCATCCACCCCTCTCAGATCGACGTGCAGCTCACTGTGGGCGCCTGCTGGCAAGGTGAGGGCTGTCATGATGATGATGATGATGATGATGATGATGATGATGGTGATGATGATGATGATGATGGTGATTCAAGATTCAAGGCTTTTATTGTCATGTGTACCTAGCTACGGTGTAGATATGACAATGAAATGCTTAGGTCACAGGCTCCTCCAACAGTGCAACACAATACACAGATACAATGGTTTAAATAGTGCAAGTAAATACAAATAAAATAGGATAGAAATAGTGCAAGGAGAGTCTATTGATGATGATGGTGATGGTGATGGTGATGGTGATGGTGATATAAAATAAAAAACATTGAGGTATTTTGGGTTGAATGCGAATATATTAACAATCGTAATTATTTGTGTTGTATTCTTTATTTGTAGTCACATAGTGTTTTTATTTGCGCAATCATCACTTCGATCTACAGTGATCCATCTTTTTAGTTTTTATTTCATATTATTTTATATTTTGCAGGATAGTTGCACACAATCAAGACACAAACAACCCCAAACATCGAAAGAAAACAACAACAAAAGTTTAAATAAATAAGAAAACGAGAAACAAGGGTAGTTTGGAAGAAAGTACAGCAGGGAATATACAAAAACATAAACAAGAAAAGGAAGGCCGTATCTGGGAAATATCTCACCTCCACTCTTTTAAAGCTTCCCTAAATGTATTCTCCTGAAGCCTCCATTACAAAGATGCATATATAAAGCAACTAACATGTTTATGAAGCATTATAAGGAACTCATTGAGTGTGGAGTGTTCTTTGGCATTAAATGAACAAAGTCATTAAGAGGATCACATAAGGTACTTTTCCCAGGAATAGTTCCGATAGTTCTTGGGATTTTGCGTTCACATCAAAAAGATCTGGAACTAGAACCAAAAGTACCAATTTCTATTGGCTGGGCGAATTGCAAACCACGCCCCGTAAAACTCCGAAAAGTTTTGTGAAGCCGCCATTTTATTTGCTGGCATTAGCATTATTAGCATTAGAATTAGCCCAGCGCACCAACTGAGAGAGACTAACTTATGGCAACACAAAAAAAAAAATGGCAGCGGTGGAGATGAGGAGGTGTCGGCGCTTCTGGCGATTTACTCTGAAGGCTTCAGTAGAAGCTGCTGGGAGTCCCAGCAGCTTCTACTGAAGCCAGTCCCCAACTCCGGGGACTTCCGGCCGGGGACTTCGGGTGGCAGTATACGCCGTGAAGTTGTTTGCGGCCTGCCAGTAAACCCAAAGCAGAAGAAGACGAAGTGACGTCAGTGGCTTCATTTGCCTAATCCTCCCCGAGGGGACTTATTCCGGTGTGAACGCGATCTACTAGGACAGTTCCGGGACTAAAGAGTGAGGCGGGGCTAAGTACTGGGAACTAAGTACGGCAAAGTACTTGGTGTGAAAGGGAGGCTTGTGGCGCAGTGGATAGAGCCTTGGTGTTCAGATCAGGGGGTCACAGGTTCAAACCCCACTGTAGTCAGCATGTCGTTGTGTCCCTGAGACACTTCACCCCAAATTGCTCCTGTGGGGATTGTCCACAGTACTGAGTATGTAAGTCGCTTTGGATAAAAGTGGCTAACAAGTAACATGTAAAAATGAAAGCGGCTATACTCTGCCTTTGACAAATACTTGAACCAGCGTGAATGAAGGCGTTCAATTAAACAGTCCTCCAAACTGATAGCTGCCACTAATTGCACAAGAGAAGAAGAAAGGGCACTCTTTTTCACATACTGCAGCTTACCGTTGATTTGATAGCCCTAATGCGACTGCTCAGTGATGCTTAGCCTCAGATAAAGAGTCAAGATGCATTTTGTGCTGGAGCAGGTCATCTCGTATCGCTTTCATCCTCCTCTTCCTCCTCCTCCTCTTTCTCCTCCTCCTCCCTCCTCCTCTTCCATCCTTTCATTGAACACTGCAAGCCTTTAGATGGATTAAAAAAGCCTTGAAAAGAAAACCGAGCTCAGAGACAATTTCTGCTTCTCTAGTTGTGGGCTAAGCCTCAATGAAGAGATGTTAAGGCAACACTGAACTATTAACATCAGCCAATAGCCACAAAAGATTGCCTTTATTCAACATAATGAGATTCAAGTGTCAAGTGAGTTGATTGCACACATGTTGTCTGACTGGTTCTTGAAGCTTCAGTGTGTTTTTAGAGCAGTGATGAAAGGAAATTCAACATTTGAAGAACTAGTGGGTTTATTTCTTCTTCCTGCTGCACTGCTAAATATCATATATTATCATTTTCAGGACATTGTGATAGTGTGCAAATACTGTAGATGACAAGGTACATCAAAAAGATTTGTCAGCTCAAAACAGTGCGGCCGCAGACGCCTGGGATGTTTTATTTTCATTTCATTTAATTGCACAATATAATGTCACGGTTGGCAACATTTAAATGGTCAGCCAGCATTGTCTAATGGGAATTATTTATTTCCTGAGCAAAGCAAATAAGTATAATTTAGAATCATCACATTTCAGATATTTATCCAAAGAAAGCATTGGGCAAGATTTAATGGCTTCACTTAAATCTGTAATTAAACCAGCTTCAAACTGCCATTAGGGGAGGCTAGCACGTGAATCTGATTTTATTATCAGGGCAGTTTAAGTGATTAAAGAGAATCAAGAATCCTGCTGATGTTCAGGTGTATATCAGTGTGGAGTGTCTCTACTTTAAAGAGTCCTCTCCTGCTGATGTTCAGGTGTATATCAGTATGTAGTGTCTCTACTTTAAAGAGTCCTCTCCTGCTGATGTTCAGGTGTATATCAGTATGTAGTGTCTCTACTTTAAAGAGTCCTCTCCTGCTGATGTTCAGGTGTATATCATATGTAGTGTCTCTACTTTAAAGAGTCCTCTCCTGCTGATGTTCAGGTGTATATCAGTATGTAGTGTCTCTACTTTAAAGAGTCCTCTCCTGCTGATGTTCAGGTGTATATCAGTATGTAGTGTCTCTACTTTAAAGAGTCCTCTCCTGCTGATGTTCGGTGTATATCAGTATGTAGTGTCTCTACTTTAAAGAGTCCTCTCCTGCTGATGTTCAGGTGTATATCAGTATGTAGTGTCTCTACGTTAAAGAGTCCTCTCCTGCTGATGTTCAGGTGTATATCAGTATGTAGTGTCTCTACTTTAAAGAGTCCTCTCCTGCTGATGTTCAGGTTTATATCAGTATGTAGTGTCTCTACTTTAAAGAGTCCTCTCCTGCTGATGTTCAGGTGTATATCAGTATGTAGTGTCTTACTATTAAAGAGTCCTCTCCTGCTGATGTTCAGGTGTATATCAGTATGTAGTGTCTCTACATTAAAGAGTCCTCTCCTGCTGATGTTCAGGTGTATATCAGTATGTAGTGTCTCTACTTTAAAAGAGTCCTCTCCTGCTGATGTCAGGTGTATATCAGTATGTAGTGTCTCTACTTTAAAGAGTCCTCTCCTGCTGATGTTCAGGTGTATATCAGTATGTAGTGTCCTCTACTTTAAAGAGTCCTCTCCTGCTGATGTTCAGGTGTATATCAGTATGTAGTGTCTCTACTTTAAAGAGTCCTCTCCTGCTGATGTTCAGGTGTATATCAGTATGTAGTGTCTCTACTTTAAAGAGTCCTCTCCTGCTGATGTTCAGGTGTATATCAGTATGTAGTGTCTCTACTTTAGAGAGAGAGGCATTGTATCCTTTGCAGACCATTGACATGCACAAAAACCTTTATAACACACTACAGGACAAGGGAAATCCCAAATATAGCCTCTTTAACTTTTACCGTGCAAATATTTTGATACAGAAATGGCCAAGACACTGATATACTCAACAAACATTATAATACTCTACATGCATGTAGAGTGGCAGAACAGACACGCAGTTGGCATGTACAGTTCATATCTGCTGTGGACTCATTCTTATTATTTCAGCCACACTTCTGCTTTGCTCGTCTCATTGAGATGCACAAGATACGCTTGTTAGTGTGCCTTCCTGTAACAACCCAGCAGTGAACTATCCAGCTGTGAAGAGTGCATTTTCCCATTTGTTCTCTCATTTTCTCTAAATGAAGGGTTGCACCCAGCCATCCCTCCTACTTCACCTCTGAGAGTAAGTGCTGGCTTTGCAGTTTTCACACAGTCAGCCTATATTTACCCTGTGACCCAGCGCACAGTGTCCATGTTCAGAAGTATGTAACGCTGAGGAAGACACACTTATCTTCCTCTCCTTTTTCCTGAACTGTGTAATCACTGCTGCTGCTCTGCCTCTCTGGCTTCCCTCAGCACATTCACAACAATCTGAAGTCCATCCAACACCCAGTAGTAACACTACACTGCTCCTCTGCTCCCTTCACTGGCTGCCAGTGGCTTTAAGACTCTGGCACTGGCCTAAACCGTGCTGAAAAGCGATTTAGTCTTACAACCAGGACACTGCACTTGGCTCTACATCAGCCAATTTCCTGGTTTCCTGTCTGGGTTTTCCTGGATGTTCCTCGTCTGATCTCCTGTGTTCTCCAAGTCTTCCCGGTTTCTTTCTCATTTTTGTTTTGCCACTTTCCTTTTGTTTTACCTCGCCTGCTCCTTGAGTTTGTGTGTTTTTATTTGTACCAGCTTTGATTTAGTAAAGCTCACTTGTTTTCGTATATATTTTTATACTTGCTTCCTCTTTCATTCTTCATTTGATTTCCTTCCCCCCGTGACAGGAATTGAGAAGAAGACGGCGATCTAAGTCCTCTCTTTAGAGATTGTCCATCACATCATAGTGGTTGATGCCTCGATGCACAGAGAGCCTGTCAGAAGTGCAACCCGTAACTTATTATTTTCAAGGACAATCAGAGAGTGGGTTTTGCTACCAGAACAAGCCGGACTGTTTCCTGTCCTTCAATAAAAATGCACAGATTGATTTGTATGTTCACCACTCATCTCCATCCCCCAAAAGTGTCTCACATACAGCGGGAAATGTTCCATCTGATTTAAAGGGGACCTATCATGCAAAATGCACTTTTGTACGTCTTTTCTACATGAATATGTGTCCCCGGTGTTCCAGGGAACTCACCAAGTGTCAGAAAACACAACCCTCTCTATTTTCCTCCATACCCAAATCTCTAAAAAAGGGGCTGCAACGGATCTGATAAAAACTGATCCAGATTTGAACACTGTCCTGACGTCAGGACGGTGGCGCTACGGCTATTGGGCCAAGTCCACCAATCAGGAGGAGACAGCCACGGCCATTGCCGTTCGAAAGCGCTGGAGACGCTGTAGTACATATGCCAGGCCTGTAGGTGGTGCTGTTCTCACAGAATCAGCCCTTGCAAAAACAGAGCTAACATTTTTCAAATTGAGCAAAATGAGGCATGGCTAAAATGCAAGATCTGTTTGGTATTTTGAAAAACAAAAGTATAAATATGCCTTATATATGTATGGTCCTACACTATATTATTCAAATATAGCATGATAGGTCCACTTTAAGGTAACACAAATCTGGAATTGCAATACAATACAAATGATAAGAGACATTTAGTGGGGATTGTTCATACTCCGCTGAGCGTGATAACTCTTAGTATTCTTCCAGATCCAGATTCAGATAAGCAGCAAGCATGCAGGAAGTACTGATGATTACACACATGCAAAGATAAGACCATAAATATCTACATATATATAGTGTATAATAAAAATGATACAGGCACCAAGGCACTGCCACAGCTATCTCTTTTACACTTAGGTAACGATCCCATTTCCTGTTCACCCACTCCTCGTCCGTCTCATCTGTTACTTTTTCTGGAAATGACGCAAATAAAGCCGAGGCAAAGGCAGAGTGAAGATCTGTGAGAGGCAGCGCTGCACAGAGAGCTGACACCACGTAACAACCAGCCTCTGTAAAGTGGAATGATCAGCGGTTTTATCACCCATATCATTCTCGCTCTGCAGCCTCTCGCTAATCCCCTCTCCTCTGACTGTCTGTCTGGGACCCTTAATGGTTTCTCTGGCCACGGACGAAATTGATAACATCTGTCAGGGTGGGATAGGTGGACATCTAGAGAGAGGGCAAGGAAAAAAGGGAGGGGAATAGTAACTGAGGTGAGGAGGGAGGGCAGGTGAAGCATAGGAAAGAGGAAAGACGGGGTATTGCTTTTCTACTTGAATCCAAATGTGTTCTTGTCATTATGAGATAGACTCTGCTCCCTGGTACCTGGCAGGTTGTCAGCGAGCGCTAATGCAGGAGATTTCTCTAAACATGCGAAGCAGCTGGGGTTATTATACTTAACTAAAACAAAGGTTGACTAACATTTCAGCGAAGGGCTCACTTCTGACAAGTAATAAAGTATCGCTGCCAGGCATATGCGTATATACACAGAATGAATCACAAAAACCACAACTATTGACTGTTTGTTCGCCTGTAAAATGATCCATTGTGCAACAGCACATGTGAGCATTGCTAGGATAAAGGTAGCAGGTTTAATGGTCTAAATTCATAATACTTTTTGAAGAATAGACTCCTGATTTATCTCCTGACTATCTGGGATAGTGGTGGTCCAATGGATAGTGAGGTGGGCTGAAGATCGGAAGGTTGTGAGTTCAAATCCCGCCAGGAACACCACCACTAGTGTGCCCTTGAGTAAGGCACTTAGCCCTTAGTTACTCCAGGGAGAATGTCCCTGTACTTGGTAATTGTAAGTAGCTTTGGATAAAAGCGTCAGCTAAATGAAATGTAATGTAATGATTTCAAACAGAGAAAGACAAAAGCAGGCTTCTTGTTTCTAGCTGTCGATAACAACTGTCACCGTCAGATTTTACAAGCTTTAGCTAACTTTCTAATAAGCTAAGTTCAATGAGAAAGTTAAAATGTTTGTGTCTCTAGCTGACTTTGAAATGTTTCCAGCTGACTAATTGTATCAACAATCCTTTAAAACCAGCCCTAAATAAGCACCTGATGGCTACTAACCCTAACCCTAACCCTACATCTACATCAGGGGTACTCAAACTTTTTTATTAAAGGTCCACTTGTGAACTTTATACAAGGTCACTGGTCCGGATCGGTAAAGTGTCCCCCCCCCCCCCCCGAGCGGAGCAACGAAGCTGAAATTAAGAAAATGTTTCTTACGGCGCTCTATGCATGGGGCCCCCTTGAGGGGTTTTCCCGACATGTCGTTGCAGTAAATTAAAGGGTGTTTCATGTTGTCGTTGCTGTGGACCTTCTTAATCTACCTTCTTTGGGGGCCCCCTTCTGGTCCAAGCACTTGCCTGCCTTGCCTGTCGGCAAACGGCGCCCCTGTAATTTACACACACACATTCAATACATACATACAGTATGATGGCTTGAACTAGTGGGAGAAATGGCACTGTTTGTCTGTAGCCAATGCCTTGAACCTCGGCAAAAAAGGCATTAGAAGCATTAGAAAGTCAAGGTAAACTTGCGGTTAACTTGCGGTCTGCAATGAGTGTCACGCTCGCGCACACAAGTACATATATATGCACGTTCATTCTCACAATGCGTCAGACACAAGACGCGCGTACACAATGATGTACATTAATTTATCAGAATCAGAATTCTTTTTTTTTTTTTTATAATTTTTTTTTTTTTTTATAAAGGGACACAGGGTTCGGTCCGGATTGATTTGCAGTTCGGTCCGGATCCGGATCTTGGTCCGGAGTTTGAGAAGCCCTGATCTACATGATGGTGTGCTAAAAGACTGAGGCTAATAATGTCAACAAATTAGCATGCTCACTAGTTTATTATCCATGTAGATGACACAACAGAAGCAGCTTTGCACTAATATACTTTACTACACATAGGATGTAACGTTTAACAGTCATTTGTAACCCTGCATACTATTGTGTAAATCATGATATGCTAACACTTTGGCCTTGATAGTAGTCTAAAGCTCAAGTCTTGTTGCAGGTAGTATAGTCAGCCAGAGTATATAGAGTAGATACAAACACAGCTTGCTACAACACTCACTTTTTAGCATGCAACCGTCCAAAGCTTGACAGGACAGATTAGGGCGAGCGGTATAATATTTACCAAACTTGCAGTCATTTTGGGGGCATGTGCAAAAGTGGAAATCGTTCAGCACAAGCGTCTGAGGTGTTAAACCTATATTTATGAAATATTTAACACTTGTCAGCAAGAAAGTGTGAGCCGAAAGACACAGGTAAAACGGAAATGTTAAGCTGTGAGAGTTGATAACAGCTTCGTCCATATTTCCATCTGCCCACTCTCTAGTCAATTGAGAAACCACTTGGGTTGGTTAGATCACAGAACCAGTAGGAATAATGGAGCTCTATCTAACGGGCCATGGTGTAAAATGTACCCACAGTTCAGCAATCGTCGGGATGATTTTGTCTTGAGTGTCTTCAGTTACTGCGGTCCGTTTTTCCGTATATTTTCACACCAGTAAATCAGGGCATAACAAAGTGATTCCAGCAGTGGTCAGCTTTGTCTCTAAATGCTCTGACGGAGACTTTTAGACCCCAGGTTCATCACTTACAGCAGTGATACATGAGTCTGAATCACCCACCGGGAATTAGGGTTACCTGGGTCAATCTGGGAGAGTCTGATGAAGTGTAACCAAGGGGTTGAGGAATTCCCCAACTCCAGTTACTGTAGATGAGAGTATTTCTTCTGTTCTGTTTCATAGACTCTGTTTCATGGTCGAAAAATATATCTTCCAGCAACTGCATGCACCTGGGAGGCAACACTATGCAACATCGTGGTGTTACATTTTCGATAATGGGGGTCATTCTCAGGCCAGGTAGAAAGACGAAGAAAGTTAGATCTAGGATTTTGTGTGAACCTTCGGTAGCTGGCTGGGGGTAGTTTGGGGCAACATGGGATCTGCTTTCCAGCTGATTTGGACCACTTCCCTAATGTAACTGTATCTTCTGATGAACTGTAATTGCAATATACAGATGCCTGAAAATAGAGTCCCCTGCAAGTGGTAGTATCTCTTCTTAAATCCATAGTAAATCTCATGCACAGGATAACAAATACCGTCATTGAACATACAGCCACTGATGCTTTTAGGTGATGACTACTGGACAAACATTCCCAATGGAGAAGTTAAGAAAAGATTATAAAAATACACTGTTTTATGGTTGTCTCCAATAATCACATGGGAGCAGAAGTGTGCTAAAAGGCTAGATGGATACATGTATACATAGACAGAAAGATGGTTACTTGGCATACACTCAAACTATCTTTACTAATTCATCCTCAGATCATTGTTATCATCACTTGAAGCTGCTCTTTGAATGTTTTGGTGGGTTACAGGGTGAGAAAAGAGAGAGAAGAGAAGAGAAGAGTTAGTAAGGAAATACGTTTTGATATCCAGAGCTAGTAACCTTTTTAGATAATGAGTGTTTGTAGAGATTGTTCCTGCTGGTTTTGGCCTTTCAGAGAACATACTTTAAATGTTTTGGCTTTTCTCGTACATTTATATCCCACATGGGCTGGCTCAGTAGCACGGAAAGACAAAACATGCATCTTAATGCCAATTATAGCTAATGCAGTCATCAGGACCCATAATTACCGAGTGGATAAGGTCACTGCTAGTTATATAATCTTGTGGTGCGTAAAATACGTTTAAATGCAACTTAACAGAGGCAAGCAAGACTCTGTGGTGATTACTGTCTACATACGTTTTTTTTTTACCCATTTTAATGATTTCAAAGATTGCTTAGAGCAGCGCTGTATTTGATCTTGCAGATGTTCTAATTACTTCTTGAGCAGAACCCTTTTGTTCTTGTGCACGCATTAAAAAAAACGAATTGACATTACTGTAGGTGCAACAATACCAGAGCAAATGTAACTTGATGGTATCCCAAAGTGGCTTTTTACGACCTATTTTCCTGTGTGTGTGTGTGTGTGTGTGTGTGTGTGTGTGTGTGTGTGTGTGTGTGTGTGTGTGTGTGTGTGTGTGTGTGTGTGTGTGTGTGCGTGTGCGTGTGCGTGTGCGTGTGTGTGTAGGTGGGGAGGTGACGAAGCCGTGGTTCACTCAGTATTTCCGGGGCAGCCTATCCGGACTGACCATCCGACCGGGGAAGATCGAGAGTCAGAAAGTCATTTCCTGTCTGCAGGCGTGCAAAGAGGGACTGGACATCAACTCCCTGGAGAGCCTGGATAAAAACATTAAGGTATTTATTTATTCCAATTTATGTTTCTGTTCTTGTATGGACGAATCAAAGTACATCTACTAGTATTGAGGTACTACTACTTTTTCATACACATTGCACAAAGAAAATATGCCTTTTTCAAACTTCAAATAAAAAATAAAACAGAGGCAAATCTCAAATAAAGTGATAAGCAAACTTAGAATGTCTTTCTTACTGTTTTATGTAAAATAATCAGCAGCTTCCTTACAGGTTGTCCATGTGTGTCTGATAACCTTTTTGCCACTAGGTGAAAATATCAATTAAAACGAAATGTTCCCTGACGTTAAAATAAGTTAGCAATGACATTTGTTGAAGGTGGATTGCGTTACCTTCAGACAAATCCGGGGCAATCTGTATGCTAAGCTAAGCTAACGGGCTGCTGGACATACAGAAGGTTCATATTTACCACAGGTAATATAAGTCTTCTTTTCTTACTAGGGGAAAGTAAGCAAATAAGCACATCTCTCCAAAAGTGATACAAGTTCTGCAAAGTGTATTTCCTGTTAGCAGCAGAAGGTGTTTGGACAATATTCCTGTGTCTAGTGAGTAAACAAACCTTTTTGATCCCAGTTGACACAGACACAGTACTCCACTAAATCACCATTTGGCTTCTTTGAAACCCCTCAGACGGCCCCCACTTCCACCAGCTCAACTAATCCATCTCCCTGCTCTGTGTGAGATAGAGGGCAGACAAGATGGATATGGGTTTGTGTATAGACTCAAAGCCGGCCCCCTACCCTCCTCAAACTCTTTTATCTTCATTCCCCTCCTCTCTCCTTCTGCTCAGTCCACAGAGCTGTGGTGCAGCAAAGAGGTCCGTGCCAGCCTTTTTGAGAAGAGGAGAGGCAATGAGGAGAGGTGGACAACCCCTCCAGGGCCAATGTAGTTTATCTTTCAATAGCTATTTCCTTTTCTCCTTAGCCACACACTCATCTGGCTCCCAAACGTCCAGGGGAGGCTTAAGGACAGCATTTAGCCGAGCAGGTTCGGAGCTGGCGCAGCACAATGAGAGCAGAATTACAGCGAGGGGAGGAAAGACGGAGGGACATATAGGCGGCGAGTATATCGACAGCAGATGAGAGGAAACAGCAGCATAAGGGAAGGTTTGAAGGAGAAAATGGGAGCGTTGAGAGCCCCATGGAGCGCTGAAGTACAGTCCCCTGCTGCTGAGGGCCACTTTTAGGAAATAGGAGACAAGTAAACTCCCTTTAAATGAAAAAGAGCCTCAGTTCCCCGCCATCAAACCCTGCAGGAGAACACACTCCTCCAAAATGATGCTTGTGAGGAGAATCCAATAAGTATTTAATTTCCTCAAGACCTTAGTATTGCCTTTCCTCCATCTGTGACATGTGTGTGTGTCCTCTCAGTTTGACTGTTTAAAAGGCGGGTTATCAAAATCATCACCCAGTGTTACACCTACTAAGCCATATTTAATCCAACTATTACAATTACCACAAGTTTTTGTCAATAAAACAAATGTACACATATAATATTAAGTTTAAATAAGTACTATAAGTAGTAAATATTAGGTTCAACGTAATAGTATTGATTTCAACTATCCTATTACAGTGATGTGAAACTTGTGGACATCATATATTTAATTAACGTCAATGTTACAGTTTTTTCAGTGTATCCTGTTGAATTCAAGGGCAATACTGTACAAGTGTGTTGTCCATGTTTTAGACCATTTCAAACAAGGTACACAGATACTACTTTTAAATGTGTCTTCAATGCATCTACTGTATGCTGCCACTGCATTTTGTTGATCTGAAACTACACCTCAAAACACGAGGACACATTTTTTTTTCCTCAAAGGCAAATTGCGTTTTCACGGTAATGAAGTACAAACATAGTTTTAATTTGTTATGGATTACCCAATTGAAGCAAGTTTGAATATCACATATCCTTTATCTGTCCAACATTTGGGACAGAGCAGATTCCAGTTAATATAAAAAGGGAAGACTTTCATTAAATCAAGCACACGTTAATGAAATTGAATCAAATAATTACACATCCAAAACATTATTAGTAGCAGTATGAAGTGAACTTATGAAAGTAGTGAGTTAGCATCACTCATACTGGCTCAGGCTCATACTGCTGTGTAAGAAATGAATAGAAGTAAATGGCTGACTAGAGGGTAGGTTACATAAAAGTCGCTACTGCTTTGGACAGCTTATCCATTGCAAGTACACAGTGGAAATAAGTGAACTATTAACTATTTACTTTATTGTGACATGTTCTGACTGTCAACCCACTTTTTTAGAATTGGTTTTATGTGATTTTATTGTTTTTTTTAATTACGTTCTACTTGTTTTACTCTCTGTGTTGTTTGCTGATTGTATTGTCTGTGTGTATTAATGGTTTTATTGTATGTGAAAGAACTTTGAAAGGTGCTTAACTAATACATGTTATTATTATGTTATTGTTAAAGCTGTGTCACATTTTGGCCACTCGGTCAAAATAACAGATGAAAGCTTTTGAAAGTTTTAAGGACTCACCGAGGAAAAAGCATCACGAGAAACTGTGCAGTTATAAAAGTGTCAGTCAGTTATATATCCGTCTAACATCTCTGTTTTTTCTCTTTGTCCACCAGTTCCACTTCAACCCGGCTCAGTCTATCTTGGTAATGGAGGGAGAGGACCTGGAAAACATGAACACCGCTGTGAGGAAAGTCGCCTACATAAACTCTCGTCAGTTTCCCACACCAGGCATCCGGCGTCTGCACATCTCCACCACCGTCCAGTACGTACTGATGACTCCTTCTTTCCCTACACTTCAATCAGGAGAGCCATGCTTTAATGTAACAATATATATGTACTGTATTGCCTAGAATACACAGATGAATGTAATGGTGTTTGCCGATTAGACCCCGTTGTGTAGGGGTATCATCCGGGAGGGGAATACCGAGCAGATGAAACCCCCCCTGGGGTCTAGACACTGGTGGTGATGAAGGCATGAAGGGATTGATGGAGGTCGTTGACTTGAACCCTTGTTTTGGAGGAATGTGAGGTGGAAGGGAGGGGGGGGGGGCTGCGTCAAGTCACCCGAAATGACAGCTGTCAGGAAGGGAGAGAGTAGATTTGGAAGGTTTGACAATGTTCTATGATTGGCTTGTGGGAATAGAGATGATAGGTTTAGCTGGGGAGTGAACGCCCCTGATTGCTGATTGGAGGGGTGAGCGTAGTAAGAAGGAAATATGTGAATGATAGATATGAACACGGTCTTCCTGGTTGAACTTGCGCTGAGCTTCATTTGTGCCTGTCTTGCTTATTTTGTTTAAACTTTATAATAGCATCCCTTTCCTGTTGTACTGATTCCTCTGCGTCTCCTCACACAGATTTGTGGAGTGTTACCCCACCTCGACACTAAGTGTTAACATAATAGATATCACACCCTGACTGATACTTAATTTCCTACTTAAACACCTCTCTCTGTTTCTCTTGCAACATCAAAAATGCTTTGGGAGTAAGGGATTACAGATAACGGGATTCTGTAATCAGGATACAGAAAAGTTAACTGTATTTCCTTAGGCCACGTTTACACGGAGACGAAACGGGTTGTATCCGCTACGGTTCTCTATCGTATGGACGGTTCGTTCACACGAGGCCGTAACGGAACCGCGGAAACGGAGCCCTCAAACGATAACGGCTCCCAAGGTGGGTGGCCAAACGGCTCCGTGTGTACGTCCTATACGATAATTTCCTTAGCCATAGCCCTGCCTCTCCCCACCTCTGCTGCTCACCCCCGCGTCACCCGCGTCATTGCTGATGCATTTCGCCAACAACAACAACAACAACAACAATGGCGGATCGCAGGGTTGCGTTCGTGCTCCAGACGCTACTGACCATGCTACAGATGTTAGTACAAAATCTACAGCTCCTCTACCACAACCATCAGCAACAAGTGGACATGGAGAACTACATGAACTACATGTTGCTAAATCCACCGCGGAGAATAAACAGAAGGGCAACCATGGCAACCATGCTCGGGGGGTCTTATTCACTGCTTTTGGTGTATTTTGTGGCGGAAGTACAGCGCCACTTACAGGCCCGGCATATGTACTACAGCGTCTCCAGCGGGTCGAGCGGTCTCGTGTGAAGGGACACGTTTCTTGAGCCGATTCCGTGTGAACGGAAGACTTTTTTGATATCGACTAAGGTTCGTTTTCGTCTCCGTGTAAACGTGGCCTTAAAGTTACATAAAAAAAGATCTGATTACAGTCACATTTCAAAAATGTGGGGATAACTAGGATAACAATGTGACTAAAGAACTAAAAAGAGCATATAGTGTTTGTTGTAAAAGGAGCAGATGTTATCTCTTCTCTGTAAACTGTACTGTTCTGTAGGATAATACTTTAAGTCTGAATCTATACGCTTACTGCCTGAATCTGCTTCATGAAAGGCAGGTTTTCTTATCAATAAAATCTCAGAGCAGAGGACACATTTTTGCTCCTAAATATCATGGTTTTCTTCTGTTCTAAGGTCACATTGTTCTCTTGTGTTACATCATACACTTAAGTTAAACTGATTCATTGTAGCTTTTGATATTGAGGTAGTCCAAAAGTAACGCAAAGTAATCAGGTTAAATTACTTTTAGTAATTTAATACTCAGATTAGGTTCCTGATTGCATTACATTTGACAGGTACCTACTGTAGTAATTGTAAACAAATACATTGTTAAAGTTAGTTTTTAGTTTGAGTGTATTTTAGATTCCTCTTTCTGATAAACAACATCAATACGTTTTTAACCCATTGGTGTTTTATCACAGCTGTGTCTTTTCTTTTTTAAACATCTTATTTATTGAAAGTAAACCATTCCTATCTCGCTGTAGCTGTTAGTTTCCTTTGCCTTTTATATAGAAGTTTCAGTTTGCTGTTGCCACCGGGGGCCAGCTTTTACATTTTGTATGAAATATTCTGCATGGATTTTGCCGGAGGAGAAAGAAAGAGATGTATGAAAAGAGAGAGAAAGAGAGGGAGGGGGGGGGGGGGTGGAGAGAGTCTGGCTGGTGTAACAGCCTCTCTTGGGGGTTACCATTAAAATTCATGGTTGTTTTAAATATATGTAGACCCCTGCAGCGCAGCCGCGGGAAACAAGCTCCGCCTCCCTGTTGGGTTCGACGCACGGCCGTGGGCCCGAAAACTTAGACTAACACAGCAGGTGTGTGTGTGTGTGTGTGTGTGTGTGTGTGTGTGTGTGTGTGTGTGCGTGTGTGTGTGTGTGTGTGTGTGTGTGTGTGTGTGTGTGTGTGTGTGTGTGTGTGTGTGTGTGTGTGTGTGTGTGTGTGTGTGTGTGTGTGTGTGCTGCATAGGCAAATGGTGATGAAGCAGAATCATCGGAGCTGGAAGCACACCGATTATTAAGGATTACATTTATGCCAATCACGTCTAACTTTGAGTTGTTTATATTAAGTTTTAATCACAGACTGCTGACTGGTCTGCTAGTTGCTCAAGCTGTGTGTGTGTGCGTGCGTGCGTGGGATGGAAACAGGGTTAATAATAACTTGCAGGTAAAGTATGTGTGTGCAAATGTAGGCGCCATTCAAAAAATATGTGTATAGCCTCATGGTGATGTTTATTTTAGCCTCCAGTTTATTTTTATACTCGAATCGAGACCAGTGAAAGAAAATCTCCTCTATAAGTTAGTAACACCGAGAGCTTTACACATTCTGCCATAACACTGCATGCTCAGAGATGTTAAATATTTCCTGCCGATGCAATTAACCTTGGTTCTTGCTGACGCGTTGTAACTGCAAATTACTGCAGGCATCGAGAAAATAATGAAACAAGCGTTGCTAATCTTACCTACAGACGGTGTGAAAACCCTGTGATATTTCTTCTTCAGGACAAACCTTTCCCACTCCTGATGGAGAGTATGAACACAGAGGAAACAAACTCTCCAAAAAGAGACACTACATTGCATCCAGTTTCATCGATGTGAAGTTGCAGAAGTGTTCAACTTTAAAGTAGTTTTTTTCTGATGCCACGTGTGAGTACAAAAAAATATATATAGCCTCTTAATTCTTTCTTACTGTTAATTAACTTCTCATTAGAGACCTCGAAGATAGAAAGCTGGAATATAGCTTCATAACAATTAT